TTTTATATAAGTTTCCACATACTTGTGTCTGATGATATCAGGTGAACAAGGCAACATCAGCCCTGTTACTGTTCTAGACCTAAGAGTCAAAGATCTGTTTGTACAGAAGGGCCTATGTCCAAGCATAAAGATTAACTAACACAGAAGCCAGATCCGACCAGCACTGATGGTAGTGATCTTTCCTGGAAAACATCTGTTCCCAGCTGAGAGTGTTTGTATATAGACAGCACTGGCAGATGTGCTTAGATTCAACCCATCTGTGTGGTGCTGGGAGCCTGGGGCTGAGGAAGCAGCGCTGAACAGAAACTGGAGACTGACAGTACCGTGAATCACTAAGTTGTAGAAAATGCAAATTAGCACCTCATAGAGACCTAATCTGTCCTGCAATACTGTTGCCTGTGTATAACTTAGCATGAGCAATAGGTGGGCAACAATACTTAATAATGGGACACTTCACAAATGGAGCCAAGTCAGGAAAAGTTGATATTTTTCATGTTGTTCTTTTATTGAAAATAGATTCTTTTCTCATGCAATATATCCTGCTTCTAGTTTTTCCTCCTTCTACTTCTCCCAGTTACTCTTCACTTGCCCACCCCTCCAAGTCCATCCCCTTTCTTTCCCTAATTAGAAAAGAACAAAATTATAAGAGATAACAACCAAACATGACAAAACAAAATATAGTAATATGAAATAAAAACCACATATCAAAATTGGACTTGAGAGTCCAATTGGAGGAAAAGAGTTCCAAAAGAAGGCACAAGAGTCAGAGACCCACTTTTTCTCATAGCTGGGAGTCCCATAAAACTGCTAAGCTAGCAGCTAAAATATATACGCAGAGGACCTGGTGTAGACCCATGTAGGACCTGTGCTTGCTGCTGCAGCCTCTGAGAGATCATATACATCTTGCTTAGTTCATTCAGAGGTCCTTGTTCTCCTGGTGTCCTCCATCCTTTCTGGCTTTTCCAACTTTCTGGCTCCTCTTCCATGGAGCTCTGAGCTCTGAGGGGAGGAATTTGATGGAGACCTCTCATTTTAGACTATCTTTCTGCCAAGACTATCTTTCTGCCTGTGGGTCTTTGCATCTGTTCTCAGCTACTAGCAGAGATGCCTCTCTAATGATGACTGTATAAGGCATTGATCTATGAGTACAGCAGACTATCATTAGGAGTCATGCTATTGATAATTTTGTGTGTTTAGTTTAGCATAGATCTTGGAGCTATGTAGTCTCTGGTTCTCAGTTACCCAAGCATTGTCTGTCTTGAGTCTTGAATTCTCTCTTGTGCAGTGTGTCTCAAATCAGATCAGACATAGACCGACAACTTCTGTAAGTTTTGTGCCACCATTTCCCTAGCATACTTTTCAGCAGGACAGATTTTAGGACAAAGGTTTTGTGTCTGACCTGGTGCTCACATTTTTCTTTCAGTAGCCTACAGAGCGAAGTATCAATTTTTGTGCTTGTTATTTTGTTAGTTTGTTTTGTTTAATAAATGAGAATAATTGATCTTACAAATATAAATTAGATAATAAATTAAACATTATTAAGAAAAGCAAAACACTAAGTTAACTTGTGGTTAGATGATAATTTAGAATGTAAAGTATTTCCTGAGAAAGTATGAGTTTACAGACTTGATACACAGAACACTTGTTAAGAAGTTGTGCATGATAAACCTGAATTTGCACTTTCAAATCTGGGGAGACATAAACAGGAAGATTCCTGGGACTCTGTGGTCATACAGTCTAGCTTAATTTTTGAGCCCAACTCGGTGAGATACTCTATCTCAAAAAAGGGGAGAATAGTCATGAGAAATGACACCTGGAGTTGTCCATTGGCCCCCACATTTATGTGCACACACTTGTATACACATACACATGTATCTATACACAAATAAATGTACATACATGTTTTTCTTTTATTAAAATTTCAAGGATGATGTTAGAAAAATAATTTCAAAGCTAATATGAATTATTTAATATTATCTGACTTCTGAAACTAAAAAATATGGTTCTCTGTATTGCAAGGATCATTTACTGTGTTACCAATTCAAAATTTTCTGAGTTTTCCTGGAGAATTATAGCATCATCATTCATAGAATTGGATTTGGACAAACACATCATGGATTACTTTAGCTTAATGAATACTTTAGAAATTCAGTATTGGTGATTGTGCCAGAAATCAACAAACTATCAGAAATCTGTAATCTGATACCAAACAAATAAATTAGCTGTAATTATACCAGCATTCAATATTTTCATTGAATTTACTATTGAAATTACACATATTGAATGTTTGAGTGACTATTATCTTGAATTTCTTAGAATTGAAAATAACCTTATGTCTATTAGCTGATGAGTGGGAAATCAAAGTTGGTATTTGTAAAATTTGATATTATTGAAGTATTAAGAAAAATAAAATTATGAAATTCAGAGTCAAAGGTATAGAAATGGGATTAAAAAAAAGATTCTTTTCTTCCTGCAGTCAGGTCCTACAGACCCAGAAAGATATGTGTTTATTTATCATTTGCTGATGTTAGCTTGGGATCTTCAGATATGTGTGTCACTGGGAATTAGTAAGGAATTATGAAAACAAAGGATTTTCAAGCAATGGAAGATGGAATGTACTACCGTAAACTAAACAAAGGAAAGAACTGGAGGGGGATCATTGAATTTGGTTCAAGGGATAGAAAGCCTGTTTAGAAGAGGACTAGAGGGAGGCACAAATAGCGCTAAGGATTTTCAGGAAAGTCATGAGTTAATCTACTGCTGTAGAGTTTCCAAATGTATTTATGCGTGTGGGGGGCTGGTATTATTTTAAGTGGAGTTTCCCTTAATTGGGGTGAATATGCTGAATACTATAAACTAACAGATAAAAACCTCAGATAACAGGCTCAGTATAATGAATGTGTTGACTCTTTTGGAGTTGTCCATTGAGGTTCCAAGGACTCCAAACATCATAGATTATAGACCTTTGGTCAAGTTTTGAGAACGCAATAGAAGAACATATCATTTTATCAAATATTTGAGTCAGAGAACATGGAAAATCTAAGCTTGTGCTGATCTGGTCACTTCATGACAAGCCTCTACTTCCCTATCAACAAAACTTAGCTTTATTCTCACTCATCAAGTCTAATTTGTATTGATGGCACTTTCTTGGAGATGTGGCTTTCCAGTGAACCATGCTCGACTTATTAGGAGCTAGACCTTTAGAGAAAACTGATTCTCCCTCACCCAGCAGATACCAGACAAGAGTTGCTTGCCTTGGAGTGCGACTTTGGGGTAACATAGTGTCTGAATATTGTACTTTGGTCTAGCTTGAACTTACACGGATCTTAAATTTGTTGCCATAATTACTAAGAGTTAATATAAGCAGCTGGCATGCTGTGTCAGAAGCATCTGTTTTCTTGTAGTCAGGCACTGCTTCAGGCCCTAAGATTCCTTCCCCTTCCTCTGATATAAGGACCTCTATGCTTTCAGATGAATGAGTGTGACACAGATGTCCCATTCACGCCTGAAGATTCTGCAGCCTCTTCCTCGCAGCATATTGACTTGTTGTGGGCCTCTGTATAGATCACTGTGTATTGCAGAAAAATAATTTCTAATAAAGGACATCACTGCTAGTGATGAAAAAGCGTTGCTGAGGAGAGAAAAGAAACAAGAGTCGAGAGAAAGTGAGAGAGAGAGAGAAAGAAAGAGAGAGAGAGAGAGAGAGAGAAGATTGTGGAGTCAGTGAGTTCAAGTACTGGTTCTTTTACTTTGGAGTGATGAGTCCTAGATGACATCACATAATCTATTAAAAAAATATATGTCAGATTTGAATATTTGCAGTATTCATGTCTTAAACTTTTTCTTCCAGTTCTGTCATTTTAATATGTATAAGATAGTTGGAACAGTATTTTTTCCAAAGAGTGGACAATTTAAGTACTGTTAATATAAGATAGGTGAAAGACAAATTGGCCAAATAACCGGTGAGATACTATAAGTGTTTATTCAGCTTGTTTTTCAGTATAAGTATAATCCATTGCAAACTAGTTTAGGTTTTGCTTTAGCTTCCTTTTTCCTCAGGGTATATAATCATGTTATAATGCTGTATTTTCCCTGTGTGCATACTGAAGCTCTGTGAGGGCAAGTTGTTCAGTCACTTGCAAAACTTAACAGCATATGAAATAGAATGATGATAGGCTGGCTAGCCACAATTTCAGACACTCAAATCTATTTTAAATTAAAACACACATTAATATTTGACTGTAAAAGTAGTACTTTTGTCAGCATGATGTGCCTTGATCACACCTCAGGAGCATATAGAATAAACATTATTTATGATACTGTAAAGTAAATTTAAGTAGAAAAGCATTCAGAACAAGTAAAGTGATAAATAGCTTATCAAGCATTTCTTATGATTCCTTGATGAATTCCAGCAAAGATTCAAAATAGTAGGGTGTTGAAGAGAACTCATAAAATTACCTCTAAAGTGTTTTCCAGAAAAGAGAGGCTATGTTTGAAAATATAAATTTGTAAGTTATTGAAAGGTATGGAAAATGATTTAAGTAACTAGTGCCTCCAAATCATCTTCAGGAAGGCAATAAGCAAAAGGCAGAAATTTGCAGATGAATTCACAAATCAACAGGTGTCCCTAGAAACTGTTGTGTCTTAAAGTTAAGCAGCACATTAGCCATGAACATTAAACGACTCAGCTCTATTTGCTGGTGCAAGTGTAAACCAGAAATAAATTGCAGTGACCTATGTTGTGAAATGTTTCAGACTCAAAACCACACACAAAGTGTTCCACCCCCAAACTCTTAAGGACTTCTTGATATTAATGTTGGTATTGCAATTACTCATATATCCTTGAATGTTTTTAAAACAAATGTTTAGATCAATTGTTAATCAGTGTGGCTGAGATGGAGAGGATCCAAGCAGTAATAAAGATTTCATAAAATCAGTCACCTAAACATTGGCATATGAAGGGAAATCGAAGGCGTAGGTAGCAAAGATTAGAAGAAAAATTGAAAAAAAGTAATTTAATATATTTTACAATTGTACAAATGATAAAGCAAGAATAGCTAATTACTATACACAAATGACGGGGAACAGTATTGAACAGGATACCTACCCAAGAAGCTTTATCTTCCCATTCCACGGATGGTATAAGAAAAACTCAGTAGCAACGATCCTATGCAGCAGAGCTATCTGTAAACACTTTTTTCCTTCCTGCTATATACATTTGAAACACTTGTGCTTTCAACTACACAAAGAAACAGTATTTCTTAAAAGGTGCTACGCAATGGAGAAACACATGGCCTAGACCCACACTCAGAAAACTTGCAATTTAAATACATTGCCAGCTTGAAGATATTTTTTTTCTTTACTTTTGTTTGGAGAGGTTTGAACATACTAGTCTCTTTACTATTACTCTAGGAAAGAACATATACTTCAGCTATAAAGTAGGTCTTCCTTAAAGCAGAGTAGTAATGAAGTTTCAAAAGAACTTCTCTTTTTAAAGTGGTCATGATCTCCAGGGAGGACCACGGTGCAGACCCTGAAGATATGTATAACACACATCTAGTTGTGCACATATTACAGACTCAGTGTGTACACACAGATATACATATATAACATGGTATATATGCATCACACATGTCTATTTGTACTATTTAGATATATTTATAGCACATATATAATAAAATAACTATTTCTAGAAGGATTGTATTTGGAGTTTGTTTATCAAATACAAACAATTACCTTTACCTGTTTTTATTAAAACCTTGGTATATTGACAACATGTAATGGGTAAACTTCCAAGTTTGTAGAGATAACAACTAACTATACACAACGTTTCCCATCCCCCTTCCAAAACTATAGATAGTCCTGACAGTTATCACATGAAAACAATTCGGGGAACCAAATATCACGTAATATGTGTTATGAATAACATGGCACAACTAGAAAAAAAATCACTGCTCACTCCTTCTTCAGTAGTAGCTGAGGAACTTGTATGTACACTACCCTCGGCACTTCTTAAATAAAGCATTTCTGTAAGCATATATGTAGAGGTTTTCATCAACAATCCATATACAGTTCATATGATATACGATGCATGAAGACATTCAAATGCCCAGCACTTCCCCCCAGTGAGAAAGTCTTCCACATTAGTTCCGTTGTTCCCGTGGGCTGCATCACTGGATTGGCCCTGAAAATCTGTTACTGATTCACATTTTCTTCCAGCAACTTGCTATTAAGTACAGATCATACTGAATAATAATAATAAGAATATTTCTGTGGTCTCTTCATGTCAATAGCGCAGTAGCAACCATGTGACCTCAATGACTGGGATATAGCGCAGTCATCTGCCTGGGCCTTCCCAGGTGCATGACTAAATCATGAAAAAGGAAAGAAAACAATAAAGCTGTGGGCATATCATATAAAGGAAAACACAGATACTTCAAGTATATACTTATAATTTGATTTTGTTTTGATCCCTCAGGCCATCGTGTGTGTTACATTGTAACTCTTTTCCTCACTTGAACTATTAGCCTTCATCGCTCTCTGCCTTTTCCCTGTAAGACGGCCGCCGTGATGGGGACCGAAGTGTGAGGGCGAATGCAAAGGTGTATGTAAGAGGATAAAATGCTCGCACGCGGCATTTCGTCTGTGAGCACTAAATATCTTCAATTGAATCTGCTCTTCTGTATTGAAAGTTCCCTGAGATGAACAAAAATAGTTTTCTTTCAAATCTGAAGCCCTTTGGATGCTGAACATTTTCCTAACTGGGCAAGCATTTAGAGAACACAAAGCAGGGGTGAAGAATCGATGTGAAGACGTTGAAAAGGCACTACCCAATGCGGCTAAGGGATAAACAGCGATGCAGGGAATGGTGGATGGTGCGGTGTGCTTACTGGGGACTGAATGTTGTTTAAACATATATTTCTTCTTTCGGGAAATGCAGTCAAAAGGGTATGTTGCTGCATTCAAATACCTACTTTGAGTAAGTGCCAAGTTGATATTTTCTTGTTAAAATATACTTGTCACTTCATGTTAGGTTCTGCTGGGAAGACTTATCTGCACAGAGTTCAAAGTAAGTTCTATAAGTTACCCAGATTTCAATTGTCAAATAAATTAGACTTTCAATTTAGCATTCCTATAACATGTATCTAGTACTTTCAAATTTTCAAGTAGATGAGAATTTTAATGACAAAAGTATATTGAGATTATTCATAGTATTTAAGAATCTTCCATCTGCACTCAGTTTTATTTTGTGATAGATACACAGATTCTCAGAAAATGTTCTTTATATCCTGAGATTCTGCAGACTTTTAAAAGCATTAAAAGCTATTATTAAAAATATTAGTAACTGCAGTACTGTGACAATTCTTTTCCATAGTGTGAATACATATATGTATACTTTATATGCACACTTCCCCTACTCTCTTCATTCATTTTGAGATTGCCTGTCCTACAAAAAAACAAAACATTCACAGTTTTCATACTATTTCTGCTTTCTTCAGAGTGCCTTCCCCAAGAAACGAGAAGTCATATGAAGTTGCTGTGGGCCAAAGCAGAAGTGAGACTATATAGCTTCTGCTTTCAGAAGAAACAGAAAACCGGCCCACCAGTCACTTCAGTCAAGTATCTAATCATTCTAAATCACTCTATGAATAACTTTATGTTCTTTAAAATGCAGTAATAATGGAACTGTCCTTAACTGCAAAAAAAATTCTTGTCGATTGAATTCATTTTAAGTTCACAATACTGATACATTATTGTTAAACTGCTTTGAATTAGCCATCTATTCGAAAACAAGTCTCAGCTAGTCATGTTACTTTGTAGAGAGAAATCTTAAACTTGTGTTAAGTGGTGCCCATTGATCTTTGCCTCTGAATAACCAGGATGAAATCACAGAACTAGTAGTAACATCTCAGCTACACCAACCCAACATTAATTCTACAGGGCAATATGTTTCCACGAAGCTACTAGAAAATATCAAATGTATAAATTAAAATTATTTAAGTTTGAAATTTTTAAAATATTTAGAGCCAAGTTTCATAGCAACGATGTGCTCATTTTAATAATATATTCCTTTAATGTAAGGAGAATGGCATACTGTGTAGGAACATGATTTAATCTTTGGTACCAAGAGCAACTTTGCAATTTTTAAAATATCACTCCTTCACAATAGTTTACTACTATTGAGTGTTATATTTTGGCTGGTACCTGCCACACCATTGATACATAATCCAGAGATTTATAGTTGTGCAAAACAAAACAAATAAACAAAAATTTGGTGTGATTGCTGCTGAAAAAGCAAAAGAATTTTATAAAAAACTGTTTGATGTTTATTTTCTTCATCTATATGTGTTTCCCTCTTCTATACCTCAAATAAATTTCTAAGCACCTTATACCCAAACCAAAATAAGTTTCAGAAGACAAACACAAGCAAAACCTAAACACAATCATCATTCTCAGTGTCCTGACTAGAAGTTCCCTCAAGTTGCTTCATCTCATGGATTTCACTCTTCGAACTTGTTCCTCCTTCAATTTGGTGAATAAGGATGCCTTAATTTCCCAAGCGCCGAGTCGTGCTCCATGGTTCCTCTTCCAGTGTGCTTGGCGTTACAGTGGCTGCTCCACAGTGATGAACATATTTGCTTTGCTAATTAATGATGAGTGCACTGTTGGATCTTGTAAACACTACTGAAAATACATTCAGACTGTATTCTTCGTGGAAGTGGCACTTACTAGGACCCTTGAAGTCAGAATATTTGATAGGTAGAGCACTTTGCAGGTATTTCATCAGCTGGTGGTGGGTTCACACCGACTTCCATTTCAGCCATTCAGTCAGTTGGTGGATGCAGAAACCCAGCCTTGTTTTGGATCCTGTTTCTAAATCTCCAGAAGCATCTTTAGAAAAAGTCTGCATCCAGTTTTTAATCCTTCAAAGTGTGCTTTATTGCTTCATGCACTTCCCTGTGGTCAGTTTTAGAGCGCCTCTATTGTGCAGCACATTCAATGTTTTAAATTCTAGTGGCATTCGGTGAGGACTGGCGTTGGAAAAGTATCTATATTTTAAGTCGTCATAGTAATGGTATTTGACAGCTTTCCCATTCAAATCCTTAGGGAAGGGCCAGAAGCCATACAGGTGAATTTCATCACAGAATCTGGTAGCCAGTGTGTACATAAGGAGGCCTGTGCTGGGTCTCTTGATAGGAACTTTGTTGGTCAACCAGTAACTAGGGGAAACAAAAACAAAAGTAAAACAGGAGAAAATGTATAGTAGCTTATGATATATTCTATAGAAATGACAGTCTGTAGCAAACAAAATGCACAATTGTAAATAAACTTTTCAGTGATTAATGCAAGTAGTATTTTTGTACTTAGAAAAAATTATACTTTTATGTTTTCTTTGATATTTATTAGCTAACAGATTTTTGAGTCCGTAAAAACAGCCAGAGGACTAAAAACATAGGTTAATTCTGTTCCATAATATCCAGTTCCAGATTGATTAGGGATAAACATTTATTCAATATTCAGAGTAGAATCTTCCAAGAGAAGTATAAGTATCACTGCAGAGGCACAGCATTAAGGACCCAACTTTGACTGTTGCAGTCATATTAAGGCCTGGGATGTGATGCAGAGACAGGTGGATCTAGAGTAACTTTGTCTGTCCTGATTGGTGAGCCACGGGGCCCTGGAGTCAAGCTAGAGACATATTAAGAAGAAGAAGAAGGAAGGGAAAGATGGGGAGATAGAGAAAGGGGAAAAGACGTACAGACAGACAGACACACAGTCTCTCACTCACAGGCACAAACAGATAAACAGAGGGGGAAGGGGCATTCTTGAGAAGCAGCACCCAAACTGACCTTCCGCCTCAGACATATACAAGAACAGCCTCAGACACACAAAAAGAGCCAACTGAACGCTTAACTTGTATTATTTTAACTGACTTTTTCAACTCCAGTCATAAAACCGTATTTTAATCATGGATATTTCTATACCTCAAACATACAAACACACACACACACATAAAAGAGCAATAAAAAATAAATTCAATTTTATAATAAACTAATGAAGAGTTCTTTCTTTATATAATTTATACTTTCAATTTTTTATTAATAAAATATGTTCCCAGACAACTTTGTCCAACTTCTGTTTACTCCGACCCCACCTTCTTATCTCCTCCCACTTCTGCCACCTATTGTTCCTTCCTATAGGTCCCTTGCCCACATTTCTGCCTTTTTGTTTTATTTTGTGACCCTTGGTTTTTAACCAGGACTGCTATGCGACCATAAGTTTCTTTTTTAGTTGGTAAAATGCATCTCTATATTGAATATTTTTCATAACATTAACTTGTAACAACCATAAAATGCTGCAGAATGTTCAAATCCATTGTTGTCGAATTCTCCTGGCCTGAAACCCTGCAAATCCGCAGTTAACCATCACCTTTAGGAGGAAGGGAGTTTCCAATGCTCTGGGACACTCATTTCCTTAAAGAAAGTGGGGTCATGAGAGAAACAGCTAAAAGGGGAAGACTGTGAATGTCCCTTACTTTAAACTGGTTTTGCTTAAAAAACACTATACTTAATATATGTATGTTTTTAATTATTGTTTTCACCATCATCTCAAATATTGAGAAATATTTCTGCTTTCCAAATAAGAAGAGGTAATTTTAGATATTGCTATTGTTTCTTTTACCATGTTACCTTTGGATTTTATGCATTATTTTCTCTTTTTAGAAGTTTTTATTTAATTCTGAAAAGAATTATGAGTGTATTTATTTTTGTTTTGTTTTGTTTGTTTGTTTTTTCTTGTTTTGCTGGCATGTATGTCTGAGTATTATATGTGTACATACATGTTTGGTGCCAGTGGAAGCCAGAAAATGGCATCTGATCCCCAGAAGCTAGGGATACAGACAAGTGTATGCATCCAGGTGAGTGCTGAAAATTGAACACAGGTCCTCTTGAGGAATGTCCCATGATTTTAACCATGGAGTCATCTCTTTGGGTCTCTTTTCAGACAATTTAATGAAATGGTTCAAAGAAGTTCAAAAAAATTTTGAGTATGGACTATGAAAACAATCAAAAGAAATTAAATGCTATTTTACCCTAACAACTTATCAACATAATTGCTTTCAAAATTTACCCAAACATGGAATACATATTCAATCTTGTTAGTTCTCTTGACTTTCCTACTTTTTTCTGTTTATTTCAAGTACGATTGATGTGATACTCAATCATCAGCTCCAACTAACTACATTTCAAATCCCAGAGGACACTGCTCCAATCCTCTCTGGTCTGTTTGGGAGCATTTCTAGAGCAGACTTCCTAAGTATGGAGGACTCATAACAGCAGGTACTGCGCCATGGGCTAGCAATCCACAGAGAATAATGGGGAGAGGAGAAAATGAACAGATCACACGCCTTTCCCTTTCTCTGCTTCCTGAAACCTCATGTCATGAACTGATTTGCTAAGTACTCCCTACCATGGTGGACCCCTGAAACCATAAATCATATGAATCTCCCCTTCTTTAACTTGTTAGAAATCTTTGTCATGCTGACTGAAAAATTGATAAAATTGGTCTTACACTTTCTGCTGTTTCTTTGGTGGTGGCATTTAACTCAGAGCCTTAAATGTGGAAGGAGAATATTCTAGCACAAGACCCAGTTCATAGAAATTTATGGGTTTTTTTTTTAGTTTTTTTCATTTGATAAATGCCAACTCTAAACATTTTGAGATATGTAAAATGTGTTGCCAAGTTATACCATTACAATTGAGCATCCCTGTTTTCAAAACATATGAGTTATAAATATTTTTTAAGGCAGACTATCTGGATCCTCTTTTGATCAAATGGTAGATTATCAAGTAGAACTCATAGCCTGTGTGTTGTTAAATTCATTCAGGAACCAGAGTGATTCTGCTATTAAATGCTAATGTGACCCTTTTGAGAGGTTGGTCTTGAGTCTCTGTGTGTTCAAGTAAAGCAGAGGGTTTACACATGGTATGATTATCACAGGAAAGTTTAGATGATTTGAGAATTGTCACAGTGGTCAGGTAATGAATTTGGTAGTTTAAAAAGATGCCCGTGTTATTTACAACTGTCAAAGTTAAACTTAGCAAAGACAATACGAAGTTAATCTGAGCAAAAAATATTCCCATCAATGGTACCGATTGCAAATGTTTGGAAGTATAATAAAAGTTATAGTGAATCATTTCTAAAGTGAAATAATATTATCAGCAAAAAATAATGTAGTAGTTTACTATTTTTGAGAATTTATGTCCTTCTTATCAATAAATATGTTCTATTTTATAATTCATAAGAAATCCTAGAAATTCTAACTATTTTTGGACAGAATCATATGAGAAAAATGATAAGTCACATGATTGTTAAGATAAATGTAAGCAAGAAATGCTGAAAGAAAATTATTTATCTAGATGGTTCAAAACAGGATCAGAGGTGTAAGAACATCCAGAAATTTTGGCTCAAGGGTTTCTTAGTAGGAGATTATAAAATATAATTGAAATTGTTGCACAGAGTCCTAAAAGTGTGTTTTATTTGGAAATAGTCTTGGAAACTTGTAATCCAAATAAATCGATTTCTGTAGTTAACAATATAGACTAAATAATTTAGCATTAGCAATGCTAATAGAAAAGCAACTTCATTAGTAAGGCCTGGCTTCCTAATGAAGGCACAGCTATGTCTCCATTTCCTGCCAATTATAAATAGAACAGCAATGAACACGGATGAAGAACAATGAGGCAGGTATTTATAAAGTAAGATGGATAATCCTTTGGCTATAATGCCCCAAAGTGCTGTAACTGAATCATGTGGTAGTTCTATTTCTGGGTTCTTTTGTGCAACCTTCATATCCCATTGACATCTATAGTTGCTGCAGTAGTTTTTACTAGCATTGAATGACTGCTCCTTTGTCTGCACATCCATGCCATCTTTTGTCCTCATTTAAGGTTTTGATTCATAGCTTTTGAACTTAATCATTAGGAAAGATGAATTTTCAATGTGGTTTTAATTTTGATTTTTTGTGAAGACTAAGAATTTTAAAAACATCAATTTTTTAGCAATTTATATTTCATCTTTTAAAACTCTCTGTTTAGTTCTATGCCCCCTTTCTAAATGAACTGTTTCTTTTCTTGATGTTTAGTTTTTTATAGTCTAGATGTTAACCCTATGTCAGATGTATAAATGATGGTGCTTTTTCCCATGCTGTAGGCTGTCTCTTCACTCAACTGATGGTGTCCAGAGAGAACTAACGGAAAAGGAAGGGTTGGTTAAAGAATATGTGGATTGGGAGAACGAGGTAGAGGAGGACATATGGAATGGCTAAACTAGGTAGAGGAGGAAATATGGGATGAATAAACTAATACTAAAGAATTATTTTAAGTGATATGAAAAACTAATGTTACAAAAGCTTCCTATAATACACATATAAAAATATATAAAATAGGCTGAGAGAGAGAAAGAAATAATCCTCTAATGTGATAACAATAACCCTACTAGACACAACAGGCCAAAAAATAAAAAGCCCAAGGTCAAGGAGTGGGTAACATTTTGGAATTTCTGACTAAAGTGGTTCATTGACCCCCAACATTACAGCTCATTGGCATTATTCTCCACAACCTGTCATAAATTTATAGTAAAGCACAACTTCTGAAGACCAGTAATGGAACCCAATGATATAAAGCAGTTGTTTCCTTATAATCTAACCCTACTGGCTAGCTTTCATGGTGCTATAAAGAGTTCCATTCACTACCAGAGGTGAACAGTAATTGTCAGCCTTACTAAGCTGTGAACCCTAGGAGTTACAATAGCAAGCATCCTGAAAAGACATGCCCAACAAGGCAATAATGACACAATTGTCATGGGAGTATCCAATCAGTTCTTTCTAATTGGATTTAATGTCTGCTTCACAAGATAAAAATCCATACATGGAACCATTATTGGAGCCCAAGACCCATGACAAGATAAATTATAGACCCTCAGAAGGAACTTACTATTATTATTCTGCTATAGAGACACAATATTGAGTTAATTCATGGCCTATTGCTATACTTATTGATAAGTACACCTCTCAAACTGCATCTGAGATTTTGTCATTGTTGTGTTTTGTTTTGACCTCATGTGCAATCTTAAGTCAGATAAAATTCCAGAATGGCGGGAGGGAGGTTGGCAAGAGTTCTCACCCCCAAAAGAGAAACTACTGGCAGTTGCTGAAAGCACA